TCATACAGAGCGTCAATCTCGATGGTGGCCTCGGTGCTGGATGAGAGTGTCCTCTTGGCGCGCTCAGCGGCCGTGCGGAGGCGTCGGAGTGCGCGAGAGTTCAGGCGCAGATCCTTCTTGTACTTGCGCTTGAACTCTTCCGCAAGATGGTTGACTAGTCGGTTATCGAAGTCCTCGCCTCCCAGGTGCGTGTCGCCGGCTGTGGACTTCACTTCGAACAACGATCCCTCGTCGATGGTCAGAACGGACACGTCGAAGGTTCCTCCACCCAGATCGAAGATAAGAACATTTCTCTCACCCTTGAGGTTCTTGTCGAGGCCGTACGCGAGCGCGGCGGCTGTGGGCTCGTTGATGATGCGGAGCACGTTCAGCCCGGCGATGGCTCCGGCGTCCTTGGTGGCCTGACGCTGGGAGTCGTTGAAGTATGCCGGAACTGTGACTACCGCATCCCGCACTGTGCTTCCCAGATACGCTTCCGCCGTCTCCTTCATTTTTGTCAGCACCATGCTGCTAATTTCTTCTGGCGCGAATCGTTTCGTCTCACCTTTAAACTCGATCTGTATTTTCGGTTTGCCGCAGTCGTTGATCACTTTGAAGGGCCAGTGCTTCATGTCCTGCTGAATCTTGGGGTCGTCGAATTTCCTCCCGATCAGCCTCTTCGCGTCGAACACGGTGTTGTTAGGGTTCAAGGCGACCTGGTTCTTGGCTGCGTCGCCGATGAGACGCTCCGTGTCCGTGAACGCGACGTACGATGGTGTAGTACGGTTGCCCTGGTCGTTCGCGATGATCTCCACGTTCCCGTGCTGCCATACTCCAACACATGAGTATGTCGTTCCCAAATCAATTCCGATAGCTGGCATTTTGAATATTAATCACTGTAGATACTTCTTCACAATAAACAATAAATAACTCGTCGAAAAACTTTTCAGTTCGCACTGAATTCACTTCGTCTGCTTCGTCTCGTGTTTCAAATTATTCTGATTTCCCGCCGACACTCCACTGTTTTTATACTCAGTGAATTCCATTCGAGATTCAGCGAGAATGTTCTCGAACTTGCACGTTCCGACCAATCATGATGCCGTTTTCAACGAATGCTCTAGAAGGTCAGTGCTACGTGACCAATAGCGAGACAGTATTCAAAGAAAGAGATAGATATATATAGCTATGGAATCAATAAGAAAGAGTGGCCGTATACAAAAATAACCGGGATTTCTCCGAATTGTAAATACGTAATAGAATGTTTTCAAATGTTTTTTGCAGGCAGGCAATCTCCAAACAGGATAATGGTATCCAGACAAATCTTTAAATATTGCCGGCATAATGTCCATAAAATAATGTAACTACTTATAACCAGGGAGTTCTAATGCTGATCGGCCATTCAAGACCAACCAATCAAATAAAGACCTTTACGCTTTTTTTTGTTTTATTAATGTGCTATTATAAATACCTTTTCAATAAAATTATAATTTCTTAAAAAAATGCTTTTCCGGAAAAAAATGTTTTTATCTCGGTATGCTCTACCAGTTATCAGTGCATTGCACAGTACAGCTGTTCAGTACACAACAAACACACACACACACATGTTGTAGTTGTATTCTACCAATTTAGTATTTCATGAGTGTCGCATCTTTATGAGTCTGTTGCTGTTTTGTGCGTGCGATTTGTGACCAATGGAAATGTTTATTATTGTTTAGTATACTGAGTACCTATACATCGAATGAAAAATGCTATTAAAAATAATAATTAAACTCAATTGTTTTCTAACCCTGATTTAAATTTATCAGCTAATTAAATCTGGATAGTCTGTGGCCTTATTTAATCTTATGAAATCGCCTGCGTACCTTAAGGTATTGCGTATCAAGTTAGAATATAATAATAATATAAACACTAAAACTTTGCATTTAATTTTATCTATACCAATATACAAATCTACAGTGGTTTTTACGGATGTTCCGTTGTAACTACTGAACCATGCATCCGATTGACTTGACACTTCGTATCCATGTAGAAAATACATGTAGGTACTTAATGGATAGGCTAATATTTATATGAGTGTTGCATGTTAATTTTAAATCCAGAGCGAAGCGAGCGAGTACGGCTAGTTTTATTTAAAAAATTTATGCATGAATTAATGTTAACTTTATTGTGGCAGCCCTTCAAAAACAAAACAAAATAACGAGTGTTTTAGGTAATCTCCACCACTTCGGCAAATGAGTTTAACACGTTGACTGCCATGTAGGTCACCGGTGCCCTACGCGGCGCACTGAAGTACTTATATCGATTTCTATTACTAAGGCCCCTGGATTGCCTAACTTTGACTTCTTTTGTTTTTAATGTAGGGCTTAGTCTTTTAGGTCACTTAGGAATAGATTCATTCTCAGTATCTTCGGATTCGTCTTTCTTAGACTCTACTACATATTCCGGCGTCTCAGTAACAGAAATCGACATTACTTGAGTGCGCCGCGTAGGGCACCGGTGACCTATATGGCAGTCAAAGGGTTAAATAGAAAAAAAATAAGTATCTAATAAGTACTTAGAATGAGTACTATCAAGGCTAAACCTTTATGGTCCGTCGATTTGGAACTTCACATTTTTTTCGTAGATAGTACCTACTCATAAATAGAAGTTTTTTGCAAAATTTCAAGTTGAGGAAACCCATGGTTTACGACATGGTAACATGGTTACATGGTAAAATTGTTTAAAGTTTGCATACAAATTGGAAAAATTTTCAAGGAAGACGTCAAAGCTGACGTTTCACGTTCCATTTACGGCATAGGTGTATTTTATTAAACTTTGTCATATTTTTTACCTAAATATATTTTATTATTTTGATATATTCACAATGTATTCACATATTAAATTTGGTGTAATCAGTGTGCACAGTAGTCGTTGCTGAGTATGCTATTTTATTGACTTTTTTACACAAAAAATAATACAATTTTTGGTTACACTGTGGAACGGAACGTGAAATGTCGCAAATTTTTTATAGCATCTTAGTTGTAATAAAATATCTTTAAAATTAGATTAAATTTAACAATAATATGTTTAACATATATATGTTATAATAATAATATGTTTAACAGTTTTTTTTTTTTTTTTATCCTACCTATGCTGATAGCCCTAGCGGCTATGTCAGCGTAACCCTAACTTTAGTAGGTGAGCTCACGGGACTCAAACCTGACGATGTTGCTAACACGAACCCTAGCAAGAGCCGTGCTTCGCAGAATCTACCACCGGATCGGAAACGCGACCCACTGAGAAGATCCGGCGAGAAACTCAGTGGGCTGTGTCTGAGAGTTAATTTACTCGTCGAGCCCTTCGTCGCAAGCGACGGGTTCGACGAGAACGGTGACCGGTGCTTGAAGTACCTAAAAGCACCGTTAGTGGATCAGGAGGATCCGAGATGACGTGTTTAGGGCGACGTCGACTGCTTTCCATTCTGTCCGCAGGATCGGGAATGTAGTTACCGGCGGCCACGATGAGAGGGTTCTCGTGTCGTGCCGCTTTATCGAAGTGGCGCATGGACGCCGACTGAAGATACTTACTGATGGACTCTAAGTCCAGGTCGTCATGGAGGTCGACGTTCCTGACGAACCACGGGGCTCCGACGGCTATCCTGCAAAAACGGGATTGAATAATTTGAAATGTTTTTAGGTGTATGCGGGCCGCGTGAGCGAACACTACACTTGCATAGGTCATGACGGGGCGTATGCAAGTTTTGTAGAGTGTCACCTTATTTCTAAGGGACATTTTACTTCGCCTACATATCATCGGGTAGATGTTTAACAGTAATAACTAAAACACGACAAAAAATTGGTCGTGTTTTAGTAACAAAATTGCATGAATATCCGAAAAATATAAAAAACCGAATCAGAGCACCCCGCTTACCACATGCTTGTGTCTGCTCTACCCCTAGAGTGTTTAAAAAAATGGAGGCGCGGAGGGAGAGCAGTCCTCACCCGCTGTGACGAAGCACAGGAATTGCGCGAGTCGGAGCGGCTGAGGCTGGTCGCCAGAGGCGAACATCAAGCCGATACTACGGAGCAGAGCATAAGTGACCGTGCTTCGACACGCAAAGGCGGAAGGGCTGCTCTTCCCGCAGCGCCGGAGATAAGGCGGATTCAAACTGTTTGCAGACAGGGAAGCTCCTGTCAAGTTAGACTAAAATTGACTAAATAATGCTATTTTAATCTAAAAAATTAACCATGGATATCTTCATAACCATGGGGTTTTGCGGGCTCGTGATGGTGCAGGGGGTAAGTCCTTACACCTGTCCCTCCTCAACTCAAAAATGGATGGACCATAAACGAAATTTTAACTCTATCTTTACTAAATAGTGCTATTCTAAACTCAAAACATTTACCGTGGATATCTTCATAACCATGGGGCTCCGCGGGGCGGGGATGGTGATGGTGTAATAGGTAGTTTAAGCAGTAATGCATTTCGGTTTGAAGGGCGGGGCAGCCGTTGCAACTATACTGAGATCTTAGAACTCCAATCTCAAGGTGGATGGATTACGTTGTAGATGTCTATAGACTCCGGTAACCACTTAACATCAGGTGGCCTGTGAGCTAGTCCACCCATCTAAACAATAAAAAATAAATTCAAGTAACATCCGGTAAATCCGGTAAATGTAAACGGTATATATATAATACTCATTGTAAAAAATTCATATTTAAAAAAATAATCTAATATTAAAAAATTAATAAATAATAATTTCTTATTAAAAAAAAAAGACATGCCCGCTGAGTTTCTTGCCAATTCTTCTCAGGACGGAGGCTANAGTCCACCCATCTAAACAATAAAAAATAAATTCAAGTAACATCCGGTAAATCCGGTAAATGTAAACGGTATATATATAATACTCATTGTAAAAAATTCATATTTAAAAAAATAATCTAATATTAAAAAATTAATAAATAATAATTTCTTATTAAAAAAAAAAGACATGCCCGCTGAGTTTCTTGCCAATTCTTCTCAGGACGGAGGCTAGTTCTTGTGAATTGGCGGTAGTTCTTTTGACGTTCAACAAGTATGTACTTTCATTTATGTTGAATAAATTTTTTTTGATTTGATTTGATTTGATTTGATATGTTTATTGTATATACATATATATTTTCTATAATAATGTATTTGTGTTATTATTCTAAGATTCTCTACATATATAGTACACCGCAACATACCTGCTATATTTTTATATTTTCCAGAATTTCTGTAAATTAAACGGTTGTCTGGAGGAGATCGCTTTTAGCGATAAGACCGCCAGTTGTACAAATTTATCTGCTTTTTGACTGGTACCACTGGTGGTAATATATCGATGGTTCTTTGAATGTAAATTGTGTTTTGGTGTGCAATAAAGTGTATTCTCTCTCTCTCTCTCTCTCTCTCTCTAAATCCGCATGTGTACTGTAGTGACAGAGTTCCATGGCCATGGCGGGCTAACTCCAATGGGAAGAGGCACGGAGGAAGAAAAACATTATTTGATAAAGATTGTTCATAAAATGGATTGCCTTTTTATTATAATTTACACATTATAATTTATCGATAAGCAGGAAAAGTTGTGGATCACTCGCTACTAAAGTACTCTCTAGTATTACTCACAAGTAATCCCAAATTACTAACGATACCCAACACAACCCTACCGCTGTAGAGGCCAGTGGTAGGTACCAGTACCAGTGTATCTTGGGAGCCTGTAGGGTCAAGTAAAACCATCTTGATCATTTTTGCTACGAATGCGTTCAGGTTTGATTATTGAGCCTTAAACCTCACTCATGTTTCAAGGCGACGCTGATGTCGTGACCTCTACGGGCTCCGATAAACACTTGACGCAGGAAGAGTCATGAGCTCGTTCGCCCATCAAAGCATAAAAAAAGATAAATGCACCCTTCATCATAAGCTAAACGAAATGTCAGCAATACCTCTTATATATTACCTACCGATATTAATAACTTTAATATTGTAACAAAGCCGTCGTCGCCCGAAAGATGTCTTGTTGGATCCCGCGCGGATCCCACTCACGGTACTTCCAAGCACCGTTCACCGCCCTAAGCAACTAACCCATACACATAGCCCATTGAGTTTCTCGCCGGATCCTCTTAGTGGGCTGCAATTCCGATCTGGTGGTAGATTCGGCGAAGCACTGCTCTTTTTAGGACTAGTATTAGCAGATTCTCTTAAATTGAGCCCGTAAGGTCAGCTTCCCGTCCAGGCGTAGTTTTAATAATCTCCTAGGCTACCAGCGAATAGGTAGAGAAAAAAAGATGGATAATGGCGGTTTCTACTAAAATCGTTGCGCAGTAGATGCGTGCTGCCACCTAGCAGCGTGTAAATAGCAGCAATAACCAACAAGAGTAGCTCCCTGTCAAATAAAATAGATGGCGCTATCCGCAGAAAAGAATAAGATTTTGGCATTTATTTATTTTTTCCTACCTAATCTGGTAGCCTAGAGAGGCTATTCCAGCGTAACCGTAACTAGTAGGTGAGCTCACGGGGCTCAAACCTTACGACGTTGCTAACACGAACCCTAGCAAGAGCCGTGCTTCGCAGAATCTACCACCGGATCGGAAACGCGACCCACTGAGAAGATCCGGCGAGAAACTCAGTGGGCTGTGTCTGAGAGTTAATTTACTCGTCGTGCCCTTCGTCGCAAGCGACGGGTTCGACGAGAACGGTGACCGGTGCTTGAAGTGCCTAGAAGCACCGTTAGTGGATCAGGAGGATCCGAAATGACGTGTTTTGGGCGACGTCGACTGCTTTCCATTCCTTCCGCAGGATCGGGACTCGTCATGGAGGTCGACGTTCCTGACGAACCACAGGGCTCCGACGCTATCCTGCAAAAACGGCATTGAATGATTTGGAATGATTTTAAGTGAGTGCGGGCCGCGTGAGCGAACACTACACTTGCATAGGTCATGACGGGGCGAATGCAAGTTTTGTAGAGTGTCACCTTATTTCTAAGGGACATTTTACTTCGCCTGCATATCATCGGGTAGGATTTTGGCTCTTAGGTTGACGGGATTAAATCATAGTAGAACAAAAAAAAATTAAACACGATATATTGTTTAATTAGCAGTTTATTTCATACATAAATAATTCCTAAATTAATATCACATTTGTATAAAGGTGGGGAGAGCTTACAACTAAAAATATCGGAGATCATTTTTTGGTTCACATAGAGTTTGAAATTTGTAGGAACTGGTTCAATCAACTTCTTCGACAGTGGGTCCATCATTTCGTGGCATTTGGTATCCACCCGGCATTCCACCAGGCATGTATCCAGGCATACCGCCCGGCATACCACCTGGCATGCCACCCGGCATTCCTCCTGGCATTCCTCCTGGCATGCCGCCGGGCGCCGCACCGTGCATCTTGCTCATGACCGGCGAACACACTCGCTGCACATCCTTCAGCTTGTGCTCGTACTCATCCTGGTCAGCGAGAGTGTTGTTGTCCAGCCACCGCAGCGCCTCGTCACACGCATCGCGCGCCGTGCGCTTGTCCGCGTCGCTAAGTTTGTCGCCGGCCTCGTCGAGCGCCTGCTTCACGCTGAACAAATACGATTCGAGCTGGTTCCGAGCGGCCACGCGCTGTCTCTGCTTCTCGTCTTCCTCCTTGTACCGCTCTGCCTCGGACAGCATGCGATCGATCTCCGCTTGCGAGAGACGACCCTTGTCGTTCTTGATCACGATGTTCTTGCTGCGGCCGGTGCNTACCGCTCTGCCTCGGACAGCATGCGATCGATCTCCGCTTGCGAGAGACGACCCTTGTCGTTCTTGATCACGATGTTCTTGCTGCGGCCGGTGCTGTTCTCCTTGGCCGACACGTTCAGGATGCCGTTAGCGTCCATGTCGAACGTCACGTCGATCTTGGGCACTCCTCGCGGCGCGGGCGGGATCCCCGTCAGGTCGAACGTGCCCAGAAGGTTGTTGTCTTTTGTCATCGCTCTCTCTCCCTCGTACACCTGGATGGTGACGGCCGGCTGGTTGTCTGAGTACGTCGTGAATGTCTGAGATTGTTTGCACGGAATCTTTGAGTTTCGTTCGATGATCTTCGTCATCACGCCGCCGGCTGTTTCAATACCGAGAGACAGAGGAGCCACGTCGACCAACAAGACGTCCTGTATCTTGGAGTCGGTCTCGCCGCTCAGGATGGCTGCCTGGACTGCTGCACCGTAGGCTACGGCTTCGTCCGGATTGATGGATAGGTTCAGTTTCTTCCCACAGAAGAAGTTTTGGAGCATAGTCTGTACTTTCGGAATGCGGGTGGAGCCTCCGACGAGGACCACGTCGTGGATCTGACTCTTGTCGAGTTTAGCATCCTTGAGTGCCTTCTCGACGGGTTCCAGAGTTCCCCTGAACAGGTCCGCGTTCAGTTCCTCGAAGCGGGCGCGGGAGACTCGCGTGTAGAAGTCGATGCCCTCATACAGAGCGTCAATCTCGATGGTGGNTACGGTACAAAATACAGAGGGAACCGAAGTCCCTCCGCAGACCCAGAGGTTCCAAACGATCCGTGAGATTGGGATTATCGACAATCCGAACGGCCCTCCTCTGTATGGAGTCAAATGGAAGAAGCTGGTATTTGGGAGCCCCGGCCCAGAGATGGGAGCAGTACTCCACGCGAGGCCGGACTTGTGCTTTATAAAGCAGAAGCCTTTGTTCACGACGTTCAGGGCGAGAGAGGGGACGGGGGAAGGCAGCGGGAGGAGGATGCGCCTGCGGCCTAAGATTCGTGTTCGTCGACCAGCAGCGTGACACGCGTCAACATTAAAATTTGTTATATAAATAATGTATTTTAAAAATAGTTAAATAAAACAATATAATAATATATAATAAATAAAACTATCAAAATTCTGTCATGCGTGGTTTCTTCTTCACCATCGTCATGAACACCTTTGTCCAGGCGTGAAGTGGATATATCAAGGAGGGTGGCGGCATTTTCGTTGTAGATATCTATGGGCTCAGGTAACCACTTAACACCAGGTGGGCTGTGAGCTCGTCCACCACCCATCTACGCAATAAAAAAAAAGACTAGATCTTTCATTGAGGGGTCACTATTGCTCGGTAGACTTACGGTTCCTATTTAAGCAACCTTTATTCCTTTCTATTCCTTTCTATTCCTTCCTATTCCTTCCTTTCCTTCTATTCCTTCCTTTCTATTTAAGCAAACTTATCTTGCAAATGTGGTTAATACGATTCACATTTTACTAAATTCGTAGGTATTATCTCGTGATAGACACTACTACATCATTCCCTTGGAGATCAGAGATCGCAACGGTATATTCGAGTAAGTAGATACTAATTTATGTAGTCTGCAGTGTGACAGTCTGCAGTCTGCAATCACGTTAATTCGTATTTTCCGAATATTTTTATCGTCTGCTCTTTCTTCTTTATCAATTCTATAAAAACAATGGTCTGGGTATTCACTCTTGATCTGGTTGTTTCTGGCGCTTAGCGACAAATTTAAGTTCTAGTTTTTAAGGTATTAATTTTTTCCTAACTATGCTGATAGCCTTGAGAGGCTATGTCAGCTTCGCCCTAACGTGTAGGTGAGCTGACGGGGCTCAAACCGGAGTGTTGCTAACACTGGTCCTAGCAAGAGCAGCGCTTCGCAGAATCTACCACCGGATCGGAAACGCGACCCACTGAGATGATCCGGCGAGAAACTCAGTGGGCTGTGTCTATGGGTTAATTCGCTCGTCGTGCCCTTCGTCACAAGCGACCGGTTCGACAAGAACGATGATCGGTGCTTGGGGTACCTAAAAGCACCGTTAGTGGATCGGGAGGATCCGAAATGACGTGTTTTGGGCGACGTCAACTGCTTTCCATTTTGTCCGCAGGATCGGGAATGGAACACGGCCCCAGCAAGAGCAATGCTTCGCAGAATCTACTATCGCATCGGAATATCAACCCACTGAGAAGATCCGACGAGAAACTGAGCGGGTTGTGTCTATGGGGTAGAAATTATAAACCTCACACAAAACACAGGGATCACTACTTTACTTTTCATTATGAAGCACTAACTGTTATGTGCGGCTTCATCCGCACGGTTGACGATAAGTGTATTTTATTTTGTCTAAAGTCTCATGTAATTCTAAAGATACAGTTTCCTGTGGGAAATAGGTTTGTTTTTGTGGTAAAACATTGCCTATGTCCAGACCTAAAACTGTTATTTAAAAAAAAAAAAATCCGTTGTTTCGTATCGATGTGTCGAAGAAAGACAAACAAACAAACAAACACACTTTTTAACATTAATAATACCAATATGAACTTTCTTATGAGTTGTTATATATCCATATTTGAATGTGCAGTTCCATACCAGAACGTTAAGATATAAAAATCGGTAATTTCACGAACAGTCCGGTTACAGGATACGTCAGCAGCATTAACGAAACGTTACAGAGGGACAGACAGAATCGTGCACAGATAGTTGTATATACAGTAATAAAGTATAAATGATGGAACTAACATATAGGAAAATATAATATATTTGTTCGCATAGCTACGGCTTGAGCTATATATATTGCGCGGTGATGGACACAGGATGGCGTGGAGACGACGGTTTTCTGTTTTACTAAAAAAATAAAAAAATAAAAAAATTGTTGTTTTCGCGACTAACATTCCGGAGCCTCTATGACATGATATCGTTATTTTATTATCTAATTTCAATAAATTTTTTTTGTATCAAAGACGGCATTAGACTAATTGGGCGGGGGGAATAACACAATGCCAGCATTAGTTTCTTTTTTGAACCATGGAAGCGATCAATCAACAAACAATCCTCTGACATGCTATTAACAATGTACATACATTTTTCTTTATAAAATTATGATTTCACACAAACAAGATATTAAATTTAATAACTTAATAATTGGAAACAAATCACGCACGATCATGCGGCCCCAATTTAGGATTCACTGTGTTGTCACACCAGAGACTAATAACCGTACTTATAAATGTTTAAATATATACATATATAGATAAACTATGAACACATGAAGCGATCGTATAACTCGTATCGACAGTACGCACATCTTTCTTGGTCTAGCGATGTTAATACACCCTGTTTTAGAAACGTTAATAAAAGCAGTGATAGATTTTTTTTATTGCTTAGATGTGTGGACAAGCTCACAGCCCAGATGTTAAGTGGTTACTGGAGCCCATAGACATCTACAACGTAAATGCGCCACCCCCCTTGAGATATAAGTTCCAAGTTCCAAGGTCTGAAGTATAGTTACAACGGCTGCCCCACCCATCAAACCGAAACGCATTACTGCTTCACGGCAGAATTAGGCAGGGTGGTGGTACCTACCCGTGCGGACTCACAAGAGGTCCTAAGACGATAGCAACTACTAATAATTGCCATGAAAATAACTTATCATTAATGTATAGGGCGTAAAGAGAGCATTCTAGAAGTCAAAATAGAAATGAACTCGTGCTCAAACATAAACGAACTTCAGTATTTTATAAGCCCCACTGCTTAGCACAGATTTAAGCTGACGGATACACTTCACGACGTATGCTGACATCGACTTTCAATTCTTTGAAAAATGGCTTTGAAAACCGTTCCTTTGGTTGAAACAACTTATTATGAGTTAACATATGTTAGTATTACTTCAGTACATATTTTATTACCATTGACTATAATCGTCATCGTCTTATATTAATGCGTGCTAAAAGTTGCATTTATAGTGTACTAGCTGACCCGGCAGACTTCTTAGTGCCTTAATCGATAAATAAAAGACCTACACTTTTGTATAAAATAAACTTAAAACAAACAAAAGGAATCCGGCCGACGGGGGACACATCAAAGGAAAACAATTTACTTCCGAGAATTTTCATATTTATCTACCTTTTAAACCTTCTCTGTACTTCCATAAATAATTCAAGACCAAAATTAGCCAAATCGGTCCAGCCGTTCTCGAGTTTTAGCGAGACTAACGAACAGCAATTCATTTTTATATATAGAAATTACCTATTGATTTGGTGTGACGTCAAGTATAACCTATTCTTTTGTCAGTCGTGGTACCTAAGCCAGCAGTTAATTTTGTACCTAATTTCAAGTAAAAAAGTAGCACAATAGATGCAGAAGAAACAGATTTTTGGAAAAAAAAAATGCAATTAAATTTAAATTGACAACGAAATCGACTCAACTCCACTTCTGTTCCGAACACACATACGAAACGCGCGGCGCTCCGTCTTAAGGACGACATATGAAGTAATTTTTTTTCGAACCCGCCCTCAGACCGAAACATGCCTTGCGCTTATCGAAATAAGGCCGACATTCCAATTAAACGCGAAATATTTTTTCCATTTCATATTTACGAATATGGCCTAAATTCCCGAAAAATTAGAACTGTGAAAGCAGAGGGGCCGCTGTGTGAGTTGGAATGTACACACACGCAAACACATGCGAAGGGGTGCAAGGGGGCGAAGGGGGAATGAGATAGTAGATAGTTTTAGAAAAAAAAAAAAGAAATGTATTTTGATGTCGCTCGTACTTATCTCCGAACACGAGATTTTGTATATTTTTAATTATTTTGTTTTTATGCTTTCACGACGCTGTTTAGAAGGTCATTCATTATGATTAAAGCCGTAGGCGATACGAGGGTTACTGAGTATTTACAAGTTTTGCAACTCAATGTGTTTTTATTCTGTTGATTTCTCAACAAGCGTAACGAGCTTATAGAGTTTGGATGGATTCAGTATACGGGTCAGGGGGTGTTCCGTCGGGGATGGAACCTCGTCTTCTTCATCATAATAATAGTTCTGCTATATCCTGCTTTTAATAAAAAAAAAAATTGCTTAGATGGGTGGACGAGCTCACAGCCCACCTGGTGTTAAGTGGTAACTGGAGCCCATAGACATCTACAACGTAAATGCGCCACCCACCTTGAGATATAAGTTCTAAGGTCTCAAGTATAGTTACAACGGCTGCTCTACTCTTCAAACCGAAACGCATTACTGCTTCATGGCAGAAATAGGCAGGGCGGTGGTACCTACCCGCGTGGACTCACGAGAGGTCCTACCACCAGTAAAAAATAATGCCTGACGTGAGGCATTATAGTTCTTCCAATTTCGACTTGCACTTCATGTTTTAACGTGGGTTATAGTTATGACCACTTAATATTAGGTGGGTTGTGAGCTCGCTTGTCTATCTACAATCGACAAAAGCATTGAACTTTACTAACATAGTTTAAGATTAAAATATTAAAGTGAGGTCTCTTTTTTCGCTTTTCCTGTTTCATTTTGGACTACAATAGGCTGTCTATTAGATTATATGTCTATATACAAAAAATACGTAATTAAATTACAATTGTAAATAAATAATTTGTGGGAAATAAATACATTGCTTGTACA